CAACATTTTTTTAACGCGTTTCGTTTGAACATTAATTTTTGTATAGACCATTTTCAAGAATGGAGTCATTGGAACGACTGTTATGACAGTTTACAATAACGAGACTTACGTTATTGATGATATCGACGAAGCTTCGGATCCTTCGTCAACATTTCCTAAGAAAGATGGCACCAAAATGTCGTACAACCAATACTATAAAGAGGTATTAATAGTAATTGTCACTTAATTTTGTAACTTATATCTATGAAATTAGTCATCTTGAACTCGATATAAATTAGAAATGGAATGTACAAATACGCGGGGGTAGACAACCCATGCTGATATCAAAGAACAAAAAAAAATCTGTGCGACAATTTGGAGTGGAAGAATCTTTGGTGTATTTGGTTCCTGAACTGTGTGTCATGACTGGACTAACTACTCAGATGCGGTAATTATTATACACTATACAATTCTATTACCTATGTAACATGATGTTTATCCCTGATCTGTGAGATTGGTTAGGTTAAAAAAAAATTATTATAATAATGTAGATAAATAAATTGTTTCGGGGATTGACCATGCGAAATGACGCTATATAAACGTACAATTTTCAAATAATAATACATATTTTTATTCGCATTTAATAAATTAAAATTTTTGATGATTAATATTTAAAAAAACGTTGTAGCAGTAATGTATAGTAATAGTATTGGTAATATACTTTTTGTTTTGTTAGGTACTTGATCATACTTTAAACAAAAACGTTTTTATTCAACAAGACCCACTCGATAATATTTTATTTTATATTAAATTGATTTATTTATGTTATAGAAACAATTTCAATCTTATGAAGGACTTGGCGAGCTATACGCGTATAAACCCAGATGAAAGGGTTAAGCGCCTTCGAAATTTCGTAAGACGAGTGTTGTCGTCCAATAACGTAAGGGAAATTAAAATTCGTATAAATAAAATCTTAATTTATAAATAAATACTGTACAATTGTGTGTTAATTATTTGCAGTCTGTAGAAGAGTTTACGAAATGGAACTTAGACTTAAGCAACGACCTTGTTGAAGTGACTGGGCGCGTTTTGAAACCAGAACCGATTTTTGGCAACGTAAAGGATTATACTGGTGGAGACGAAGCTGATTGGACTAAATATTTACGAATGTCACCCATGTACACGAGTGCTGTGATAAAATGTTGGGTCGTTATGGCTCCTGTGCAAAATAAACAGGAGATAATCACTTTTGTCAATACCCTGGCAAAGGCGGCCCGAGGGATGGGATTCACATTACCACAGCCTGTTATGTGAGTATCCATTATTTGATGCAAAAATAAGGTTTGTCACCTACCCGAAACGTTTAAACACCTTTAATTTCATTTACAAGGGTTCCATTGCATGATTTTCGATCGGATACCATTATATGTAGTCTGGAACAAACGGTAAATCAAAACAATCCAAATATGATACTTTGCGCGATTCCGCCGAAAGGACAGTTGTACGCTGTGATTAAACGAAAATTGTGTGTCGACAGGGCAGGTAAAAGTCGTTGGGTATAATTTTGTCGGTTGTAATAGTACATATTAATGTTGTATAAACTGTTCTACATTTCAGTGCCATCTCAAGTGGTACTACTAAAAAATGTTCAAAAAAATAACATGTCGGTTGCAACAAAAATTGCTGTACAAATTAATTGCAAAATTGGAGGTGCACCGTGGCTCGTCAAAATTCCTAAAAAAGTAACTATTTGTACATTTTTTTAACACTGAACATTTGTAGGTCATGTTATACACCATATAAAAAGTTTTTCCTCTGACATATTTTTAGGGTATGATGATAGTAGGTTATGACGTTTACCATACGCAAAAGGGTAAGAAAAAAATGTCATATGGAGCTTTGATTGCAACAATGGGCGACACCCACACTAATATATTTAGTTGTGTTGAGCTCCACGAGGTCGGGGAAGAGTTGTCCAATCATTTCGCAGCTACTATGAGCAGTGAGTAAATCATTTAGTATATGTATGTATGTACATTGTACAGGATTATTTTCTTCAATTATTATTCGTTCTAAAAAAAATATTTTTCCAGAGGCCTTAATAACTTACAAATCGATAAATGGAAATTTGCCAACGTGTATAGTAATATACAGGGACGGTGTCGGTGAAGGGCAGCTTCAATATGTGCACAAAATTGAAATCAAACTGTTTAAAGTAACAATTATTAATTTGTTGTAAAAGTGTGTTTTGAATAGTTTAATGAATTGTAATTTATGATTTTTTTTTTAATATAGGCCGTTGTTAAACAGTTCTATGGTGATGCTAGTGTCCCCATGGCTGTTGTCATTGTAACTAAACGTATAACCACCCGGTTTTTCACAAAACATGGCACACGTAACCCTCAAGCCGGTACAGTTGTAGATAGTGTCGTCACCGACCCCAATAAGTAAGGGATTATAATTATATTATTGTTTATCGTATTAGTATAAGTTAATGATGTAGATTCAAATAAGTAGATATAAAAAATAAAAACCTTTGGGAGATAAGATTCAATGGGTTGGTTGTAGGGGCTGTCAAAAAAAAAAGTTATGAATTAAGTTCATAACTAGCTCGTTTTATTTCGAATTCTTAATAATTTCGTTTTAATTATTTGTAACGTGTTCACCTTTTTAATTTTTATAATATTTTTAATTTTACATGAATAACTTGAATAACATCACGATATTAAAAAAAAAAAGGGACAGACGTACAATGCACACAAATAGGTGTGACTAGATTTTATAATTATTTCGTTGTAAATTGTAATATTTTTTCTTTTACTAAATTTTAGATACGACTTCTATTTAGTATCACAACATTCAAGACAAGGTACAGTGGCGCCCACGCATTATCAGGTTATTGAAGACACTTTAAATCTTCCACCAGATCATATGCAAAAACTTACATTCAAACTGTGTCATATGTACTTTAATTGGTCGGTGAGTAAACACTTTTTTAGATAATTTAAGTCATATAAAAACGCCTGTCGTTGAGCTTGTTTGTTTTTTTTTTATTTCAGGGCACAGTTCGTGTACCCGCCCCTTGTTTATTAGCCCATAAATTGGCATATTTTGCTGGTCAAACTTTATGTGGATCACCGAACGTTGGTTTAGACCGTCTGCCTTATTTTTTGTAATCCTTGTTTCTTTACTACCTGTTTAATATTGTACCATTTGTTTTATTATTATTGAATTTGTCATCGTTTTTTTTTACCCATACAGTTTTTTTTTATTATCTACTGTGCTATTTTGTAAATTATTTATACTATTTATGTGCTATGTTTCAATAAAAATGGTCGAATGTTTAAAATGTGATTTCATAATATTCGTTATTATTGTAATTTTCTATTTGCTCTGTGCTTAATCTTTGTTAAATTTTTGTATGTGCCTACTCATTCCCGAAAAAAATCTTTATTAGTAAATATATTTAATTGAAAATAAATAAATAAATAAGTACATTTAACTATAATGGAAGTAAAATTTTTTGGCTCCAACAAAGAGACGAAATAAAGCTTAGGTTAATTGCTGGAAGTGTTTAGGTACCGAATGTTAGTTTTAGTGATTGTAATGATGTTATATAATAGAACTTGATCTTATGGACTAATACTTATCTATCTTGAATAAACCGTAAATCGGTAAATATATCAATTAAAAAAAAAAACAAATAGTTAATTAAATTATTCAGGTTTGATAACTACTTAGCATTGTTTATGATATAATCAATTTCCAAATTCACTATAATTATATTTATATTAATATTTAAATATTGCAAATCATACGATAATCGTCAAATGTATGGGATTGCTGTACATTGTGTAGTACTATAATTTTGTATGTATGTAGATACCATCCTGTACGATTTACAGTACAATTACTATTATACAACACAGCCATAGAATGATATTTTTTATTACCAAAAAAATTGTTATCTATTCAAATCGATAGGTGTCCGGTATTGTTAATTGATGACCAAAAAACGGTTTTAATAAATCAAACAGGACAAAAAACTTAGCTGTATGAATATTCACAGACAAGGTAATGTATATACCTATAACTAAATTTAAAATTGTTTTGTACTGAGGAAAGTGAAAGAATATACCCATCATGTCTACAGATTTTTTTATTTATCCATGTTAATCTATTAAATATTAAATATAGGTATATAATATATTTAAATATGTAAATACCAAGTAAATTATTTTATAAAAGATTAAGGAACAAATGAACAATAAACAAGGGAAAAAATGTTAAAAAAAAAACTACGGAGTTTGAAGTTCACATCTTTTAGCAGCTTTGGACAACCAAACACTAGACACGGTTTCAATTTCCTTGAGGGTTATCTCATTTTTTGTAGCCGTCTGGATATAGCCTCTAAACATAATAATTTATAATATTTATATAAGTCAAGTTTTTTGAAACATAACTATAAAAACAAAATCATTTAAAATAGTCATTTATGAGCAACGACGACAAAATGGTTTTGTTGAACGCATTTTTGTTATGTTTGTGACCGGTGTAGCTGAACATTTTTGCAAATTCATTTGCTATAAGCTTCCTCAAAATGCGTCTCACCGATTCCTTCACATTGGAACCCCCAATCATGGAAAGCATTTTCACCTAATTTTAAACCAAGTTTATAGGTTATCAATTGGTTTAGTTAATCTTCAATATTAAAAAAAGTTATTATCATTATTCACTTTCTTAGATATCCGCTTTACCCCGGTCTCCCCTATTATATTTTCATTATGGTAACGCCGAAAAAATCATCATTCATCGTTGAGCTCGACAGTCAACAAGATTAGCGTTATTCCTCTATGTTAATATATTTATTTATTTTATATTTTTATTTTATACTTTTACTATGTAAGTTTCGAGTTATTATATATAAAAATAGTTAAAGCTCGAGTCAAGTTGTATACGCTTTTTTTTTCGTATAACGCTTAATGCCATTAGCAATACCCGCGGCGAGTGAAGATTAATAAATGGACACGCTTTCGGTAAGTACAAATATTAGTATTTTGTATAACAAGTTTATTAGAACAAAAGCAAGTGACTTCGCACTTCTCGGGTTTCCCCGAGCATGCATAAAGTCATAAAGCATATTGTATTGTAATAAATGTCATAAAACAGTAATAATCATTGCTGTCAAATAATTAAAAGTTAGGTAGGTAAGTAAAGTTTGTCATTAATTTAAAAATGGCAAATTATATGGTATTTATATGCTACAGAATTATATCCAAGTAATCTACAAAAAAAAACCAGTTTTATTTATTATTACAAAGAACTACAGAGATCTCATATATCTAGTACCTATACAATATTTGTATAACATTAATTTGTCAGATCGTTGCATAGGTCGAACTGTATTCAAGAGCATACAGTTAGTAGGGTTGTCGTTGTCATTTTAATAATAAGCTTAACGTTTTGTTTTTCAGAATAATCTGAACATTTTTTCAATTTTTTTTTCATAGTAAAAAAGATGTCGATAATTTATTTATTATGAAAACCGCCATAAGTATATAATTACATATTTTTCGTCATTATAAATTTGTTTGACTTCTTCGGTAGGAGTAGCGCATTTTAATAAGCGGACAGAATGATCAGTCTATATTGGTTGGTAGTGATAATATTATTATGTCTTTGATTGTGTCGATGTGGTAGTCATGATGACGCGATGGCGTTGCGCTAAACAATTGCACAGGATTTGTGCCGGTCAAATGTAAAATTTCAGTCACTGTCAGTTAATCTTATAAATATTTGTCTTGTCAGCGTTGTGGACATAGCAGAAAACCCTATGGCCTGTCATTGGAATTCGTCGGACATACTCCGTCGCCTGTGAGAGTACCTATATATATATAATAAGTATATTGTTTTCTCGAGACAACCGCAATTTCCTCGTCTCCAACGCTATCCAGATCATCTTTCCGTATAATATATAGTGTCATATTTGGTTTTCTGATTTACTTGCCGAAATTATTGTACAATCGTCGTCGCTTTCGCTATCGATTAGCATAGACATCAATTTCCAGTTGTAAACCACAGAAAACTTATGTAAGTTTATCTGAAAGAAGAAGCGCGTTTTCAAAATTAACCGGCGGAAACAGCTCGCTTGTTTTTTTTTCAAATACAATATCGCCGATCACGTCTTGCGTACCATCAATTGTGTTAATATGTAGATACACATATCATTGTCTTAGAAAAAAACTCACATTACCAGTAACGTTATTTGTTAGCGAACAACTTCTAACATTAATATTAAATAAGTAAGAACCTTGGTCTAACTTACTGTTCAAAAATTAGAGATTATTCAGCAGAGTATATCGATTTTGATCCAAGTCATTACTTTAAATTTGTTTATTCAATTTCCGTTTATATTATTCCTCGCTATAATATATGTAGTAATTAAAAATCCGCCGTCTCTCATGATTACTAATACAACAAATAATAATAATAAAATATAATCGTCAAATCTAAACAATAGCATATTTTGATATTATAGTAAAAAATATCGCACTACCTAAATGTGATAACTTGTATTATTATCAGAACCGTGTCGGTACCGACAATGGAATTATGAAAAAAACAATGAATATTTGAAATTTAAGGTTTTATGTATAATAATAAAATATATACATACAATAAGTAAATTAGCCGATCAAAGTGAACGCCAGTTGTTTATTGTCACTACAAACTCAGAACTTAGTTATTGGGTCATTAAGGACATTTTTGGGGCCTAACTAGAGATGAACATTTATCAAAATCAATATGACTTTGTTGGTATTAAATTTGCACTTATGAGTAGTTTATTGACGAATAGCAGTTCAGAGAATGCAAATCAGTGTACTAGATAATTGGAAGTATTCGAATTTTTAAATAATAATGTTTGGGAGGTTTTCGTAGTAGGTAAAAGCTAGGACAGGTGTTGATGTTGACGTTGGTATACCAGCTGGCCACATTAGTTTATAGTATTGATAATCTATTCACTAAACGAAAAGGCTGTAAGGTATACTTAGCTTGCATTTGTAGAGTCTAATTTACCTAGCCAGATTTTTATTTTTATAGAATACTGTCGATCCAATCAAGTTTTCAACCGAATTGTTTTACTATTATTGTCTTTAGACGGTAATAATTAACTCGACTGTATTTCATAATTAAGACATTCAAAATGCTAAAATTAATAATTAAATACTTTAATCTGTTAGTTAGTTGTATAAATTATTATAATATAATAGATTATATGTAAAAATAGTATTAAAAATTAATTTTGTTCTAACTGTCTACCTCCAACACAAACAATGTTTTATGGTGATAGATTAATCATAAAAAACTGTTTTTAATATGTAATTTGTTTTTGTTTAGTTTGATTAATAAACGAAAAGAAATATAATTGGACAGCGTTTGTAATTTAATTGTTTGTTTTTTTTTTAATTTTAGAGCGATTTTGTTTGGAAAACTAGGAAAGCGACCACGAGTAATGGCCATCCGGTGGTGGTTTTGCCGACCGTGACGGGTTTCTCGTCGCTGTCGGTCAACAAACACAGGCCACCCGAGAAATGCCGCCGGCGCCGTCAACGCGCGCAACACCACAGCGGCAGACCTTGCAAACATCCTTTGGACGTCAGCCGCCAAAAGGTGTTCTTCATGAAGCCCGCCGGCGGAGGATACGTACGGTGTAAGATCGGCAAGCAGATCGATGTCGCTCCGGCAGCGGATGGCAACGACCAAGAGCCGAAGAAGGGCAGGCCCAAAGGATCAAAGAACAAAAACAAGTACGAGCCGCTCGGTCACGGATTCACGGACAAATCGTTCGTGTACACCGTGGACGCGGAGTGTGTGGCGTGCGACCTGTCGCCGGGAAGCGACCTGTTAGCGCACGCCCTGGAACGCCACAAGGACAACTGCCCCACATGCGGTGGATGGTTTGGCGAACAACTTACCGAACACTTTGGAACGCACGCCACCACGAAACAAACCTACCTGACGGTCACGTGCCACGTGTGTTTCAGTTGCGGTGAAAAATACGGCAACTCAGACTTATTACGAGCACACGTGCTGGACGTGCACGTTCGAAAGTCCACGCAATTGAAGTGCTGCATTTGTGGACATTCACCGGCCCAGAACACCGTGATGGCCCTGCGGCAGCACGTGTCCGTTATGCACTCGGACAGTGATCCCGCGACGATGCCGGACACGTGCGGTTACTGTGACCAGCGACCCGGCCGCAACACTCTTGTAACACACTTGTTCGACAAGCACCTTTCCAAGGCCACGGTGAGCCTGGCGTGTTTACTCTGCGAAAAGCAGTGCGAGAATCTCGAGGCAATGGTCGACCACCTGGTCGGCGAGCACTGTACCGTCAAGACGTTCAGACGGCCGGCCGTGTACCGGTGCCAGTCGTGCCACATCGGCTTCAAAACCCAAACCAGCGTACTGAGGCACCCGTGCGGCTTAATAAAAAACCTATACTGTGAAAAGTGCGATAAGATGTTCCCGTCCAAAATGAGGCTCGCTTTCCACCTGCAGTTTCACGACCATCCCGTTTACCCGACCATGCATCTACACTGCGACGTGTGCCTGGTCGAAATGGAAGACGAATGCCATCTGTACGACCACATCCGCTTTCAGCACGAAGTGTGTGAGAAGTCGGTGTGCGAGACGTGCGGCCGGACGTTCAAGACGTCCATGGGCCTTAGCATTCACCGTCGGTATCATGTCGGCGACAGACACTACACGTGCAAGACTTGCGGCAAATCTTTCCTCAACCGATCCACGCTGAAAGAACACGAAATATCGCACATGGACGTCAAACCGTTCCGGTGCCATATATGCAACCAATATTTGAGCCGAGCTTCGCGTCTCCGGTCACACGTCAAGTCGCACAAAGCGGCCGAATCGACTGTGCAGCGTTGCTACTACTGTACGGTTTGCTGTTTTGTAGCGCCCAACTTCAATATGATAACAAGTCACGTGGGCAGAGAACACAACTTCAACGGGCAGGTCACTACCGTAGACTTATCCATGGTCGTCAAATGCGAGTATTGCGATTCCACATACGTGGACTCGTCGTGGCTAAACAAACACCGGGACACGACGCACCCCCAAGACGGAAACCCCGAGGCGTTTGTGTGCGCTCTGTGCTCTTCTACTTTTATCACATATTCCAGGCTGGCCACGCACAAGTTAACCCACGGTATAAACACCGAGTCCACCTTGTTCGAATGTCAGATCGACAACGGCAACAACGTCGACCAGGACCGGTTCTGCATACCTCAGTTTTTCTCGTGCGAGCACTGTAGTAAAACGTGCCTGCATTACACGTACCTGTGCCTGCACCGAAAGCTCAAGCACACCGTGAACACGGGTAAGGTGAAGTGTAACCGGTGTCCACAAGAGTTCAAATCGTCGTGGAAACTGGTGTACCACAAAAAAACCGTTCACGGATTTAGCCTCAACCAGGAAGACCACACGGACGACGTGCACCAGTGTAACTTGTGTTCGCGGAAATTCAACAAAGTTGGCGCGCTCAACTTGCACAAGACTCGCAGTCACATCGACAACGGGGCCACCACTAGTAACGGCGGCGGCGGCGGCGGCAAGTACTTGTGCGACCATTGCGGCAAATCGCAGACCACCGAGCGGTCGTTGAACAGCCATAAGAAAACCCATTGCAATCGGCTGCGCGTGGTCGCCGACAGCCAACAGACGTATCAGAAAATTCCGGCGGCAACGGCGACATCGTCCATGGAAATCGAAACGCCGGCGGCAACACTTACGTCCGACAGATTTGCTTGTACGTTCTGCCAGCTGGTGTTCGACGAAAGGACCGCGTTTGTCGAGCACATCACGGGACATACGGCCGGTCAGGCTGCGGTGTTGTCCGTCGACCACACGGTTTGCAATCTTTGCAACAAGGACCTGTTGGACGTGGCATTTCTCAAGTGTCATCTGGAACAACACGCGCTCATAAACCAGACGCTCACTTGTCACGTGTGTTGCACCGCATTTCTGTCCGTCGATGGGTTCGGTTTACACGTCCGCACCGCGCACCACATGACCGCGGAGGAACCGGCGGATCCCGTCGCCGACGACTTATACGTACCGGAAATAAAGTTTGTGGGCTTGCCGGAAGACCCGATGGAATACAATCCGTTGGTCATAGACTGTTCGAACATGTTCGATCCGTATCAGACGGAACCGCTTGCCGTCAATTCGGTAGACTTCATCAAACAAGAACCCGTGTTCGACGAACTGTTGGAACTGATGCCGCAGTCAAGCTTAGAACCGCAACAGGCCGACCAGCGTTTCCCGGAAACCGATGACGAGCTCTACAACTTGTTGGTCGACCTAACCAGTTGATCACCTCGACATTTTTTAGTCGTTCCTATTATCTTTTTTTAATTGTTGTTATTCTATACAAAACTCGTTTGTACTTCCAAACGCGTTTTATTTGAATTTTGTTCTTTTTTTCATTTTTATTTTGTAAAACCGATGCGTATTTTCCAACCCGATTGCGTTGTTTACACGTTTCGGTTGTCCTTAAAAACTAAATTTGCATTTTATGTTATCTTGTTCACTATGGAGTATCAAAGTATTCAAATCCATTTTTGCTATATTGTTAAAATAATAAAATATATATATTAATAAAATACATTATAAACAATAAACCAGCTATTACATTATGTACATGTTTAATGTAAATAAACTTAGACCTGTTAAAAAAACCGTCGAATTAGTTCCGAATTTGTGTGGAATATTCTTTAGTGCTGCCGATAAGAGTACAATATTGATTATTGCGCGCTAAATAAATAACACTGACAAGTATCACAATTGCTATTGTACGTTTGGTAAAAACTTATTTTATAGAGTATATAGTGAACTGTTTAAAAATATAGTGCGAGATCCTCTTGCGCATCTATTCTCGGCTTTGGTCAGCAAATTTCAAATATAATGTAAGTTTCATTTGTGCTGAAATCATAATTCGTTCCACAAGAGTAGTATACAAATTCAAATAATCTAATTAAAACAAGAAGACACATTTGTAGAAAAACATTTTTGATGTTTATCCAGAGTGACGCGACCCCGGGCGAGATTAATAAAATAAAAATAGTAGTACTATATTAAGGAATTACAACGCTTAATAGTACCACATGTAATTGCTAAGTTATTTCAAGTTATGTTCATGATATAAACGGACATCCTCCCACGAGAGAAATTAAAATTACTTACACATTGGAACATTGGCAATTTGATTATTTCGTGTCGACCCTGATATTATTATACACCGCGGATAACCGATCTCACGATTTTCTCTATCTATTTGCATACCTACATGTGAAATAAAGGCCACTTATCATAATTTCTAAAACAAACAACCCTCGGACTTGCCGAGTATGTCAACGACATCGTGGACACCATTCGAATCTAAATATTTGATTCGACTTGATCTGGCAACAAATGTTTCTTTTATTTCTTACCATATATAGTTGTTATAATTTTTAATGTTCCAAAGGATTATATCTAAAATATCGTTTTATATTTTGCAAGAATTGAGTACTTTTTTTTCAATAATTTTCTTTCGAAAAATATTTACATATTTAAAGATAAACTTGTTTTATGTTGTATGACTTTTGTTGACTAATAACACAACTAATATTATAACATACATATTACCCAAGAAAATGTTTGTAATTCTAATGGTTTTGGCATCAGAGGTCGGACAATTGGTAATAATTTTTAATTCAACAATTAATCATCATTATCAATTGCGAACCAATACAACTAGACGTAGATTTTCACCGAGAATTCCATTCGAATTTTACCAATATGGTTATATTATATTTAGCTAGTTCATTTTAAATAAAGGCGTATATTATTTCAAGTCGAAACTCCCATAACATAACTGACGTGATTTTATACGAGAGGACTAGTACAGTAGAGTATAGGCATAATGGAATCAAAGCAATGAGGAAACGGAGGGTCACAGGTCTACAGGAATTATTATAAATAATAGTGATAAAATTGAATAATATCACTTTCAAATAAACGCTTTGATGCTCATTTGTAAATACAGAACTTTAATTTAAAACTTTCTAACTTTGCTGGTTTATACTGTGCTTGGTTAGGACTGTACTGGCTTGAAAATACTAACTACCGATTTGCATCGAAGAGTTTTTTCGAAAGTGATTTTATCAGAATTATTAGCTTTTCAATTAAATTGAATCACGTTTAATAACACAATAGGAGTGGCCAACAGTGTGTGGAAATTAAAACTTTTTAGTATTACATTGTTATTTAACTAGATTATTTTTTTTAAATATTAACTTTATTTATGCCACAAATATTTTAAATAAGTATTAGAGAACTAGTTCAAATACTAGTATACCTGATCAGTGTTTTAAATATATGTGTTAAAGAATTATTATTTTTACATTAAGTACATCAAAAGAATTAAAAAAAAAAATTATAGCGCTCCGAGTGGTTGTTCTAGTATAATTGGTACAGTTTAAAACGTTTGAAAACATATACATTTAAATAATGTTGTGAAATTGGAGAATTCCGAATTTGTAGAACTTCAAAGTTAAAAAAAATACCTATTCCTTTTCATGACAAATAATAATTCAAATTCATTTTGCGCACGAAGGCGGTTATCGGTAATCGGGTGTTCTTAACAGTGTTATCACTTTTCGATATTACAACCGCATCAACCGTGGTATCGGTATACTGCGTACAATTTGTGCAAAGAGATTATAAATCAAAGCCGGTCAACCAAATCAAATGCGCCCCGCACGTGTTCGTGGGCGACAGCCGGCAGCATTTCTTACCTGAGAACGTTGTGTTATGGTCGTCTTAACTCTAGGTTAGGTGCCGACATATTCCTGTTGTTACCTGTTTATTAAATGCCGTCCGAGATCATTATTGACTATTGTTATTTGTCGTTTGTAAGTATATAACCGACTCGACCGCATCGTCGTCCGTTTCGTTTGATTAAATAACAACAGTACGTTCAACTGGAAACGTCAGTCGAAAGTATAATATATCAATTTAACTTTATTCGAAATCCCGTCGTATTTGTTATAATATTCAGTGCGGTGTAAAAAAATTAGAAAAAATGCTCACGCCCAGTGATGATCTAAAAGTCCGGTTAAATCTTCATTTAACAATTCGTTTTATTCTTCAGTAAGTATTAATGGATGTGTGTATTATTTTCAAATTGTTGAACAATTTCATCTAAAAATAAAAAAAAGTTAAGTAAAAAATTATAATTGGGTATCTACTATCTATATAAAAAATTAATTCAATGTCATCTTTGTTTTCTGATGCATCTAACTCGTCATCACTAATATTTCAATCAAGAAGGTCTAATAATTGTTGTTCTGTAAGTATCATCGTTAAGCCTAACGGGCATTTAAGGCCCAACGCTGCCATCCTGAGATGATGGTTTCTGGAAGGATTCGCTGTCTGGGAAGGGTTGTCTAAACCTAACCTAACTTAGGAGGGTTTTTTTTTCAAACATTTTGTTATTACTTCATTACCTCTCTCCAGACTGTTTATAAAAGGAAAAATTATTTTGCAATTGGGCTACAACGTGATATTGTTTTTAGTAAAATTAGGAATACAAAGATGTTACACCATTAGATTATTCCTGCTCTACTTTTTATTACCTCAGTGTCACCTGTGTTGAGTAATTAAAGCAAAAGCCCATATGATAGAGAACAAATTCAGAAATTTCAAAACTTAGTTAAAGTTCTCGCAACTAAGTGTCTAAATAATACTTGTTTATGCTCATTATTAGCTATTATATTACTGGTTACCGATTATCAAAAATAATTAAAGAAGATCCGAATGAATTACACATTTGTGTTTTGGTCATAAATGTTTCACTTAACTTGCTTTGCTGTTACCCAAATTAAATACCATTATTTCCTTTTTATGATAGTCAATGTTTTAAGTGTAACTATAAAACAAAAATACTTTAAAAATTTATCCAAAATCTAAAATTTGTTGTGTACCTATGTTAAAAAATTGGAATTATAGAATAGTTAGTAAATTACATAGACAATAAATAATCGTATACATATTAAATTTATGTAGTTAAAATTGACAACTAAAAAAAAAAAAACAAGTAAATAACTTTATATTGAAATATAATTTAATGATTAATAGAAAGCTGGAAAGAATACATTTTACTGGTTTTTATTTATTTTATGGTATGAGTAGCATTGTGATTTATTATATCGTGCCTAGACTAACTTGTTAGGAATGTAGGCGGATAAAAAGTCGAATCAAATAAAAAAAATTGTGTATGAAGTAAGGTAGCAATATGCAAAGGTGTGATATAATCGTGTAAGGAATACGCGCTTTCTTGTATGATGTGCTGAATAAGCTAATGATATAAAACAAGAGGGCAGTATTTTTTTAACAAATACCTCTTCATATGCCAAAAAAGTGTAAAATTATGTTACCAATCCACTTGGCGCAAAATAATATTCTTTAAACACGGCCAAAAACAGCTGTGTTAAGAATAAGCGCTAAATAAAATTTGATTTTGGCTATTGGCAGCAATGTTAAAAAAAAAAAGTTGCGCTTAGCCAATGACAGTGTAATAACTTAACATTACATATATCTTGTCTTGAATGGTAAAAAAAATATTAGAAAAAAGTAAAAAAATCGATTAAAAAGGTAAAAAAAATAATAATAAGCATTGAGCTTGGCCAACATTATTACGCTTGAGACACAATTACAACTTCACAACAAATTAAAAATTAAAAATTGTGTAATATTACATGCTATATTGAAAAACATTAAAACGTATTCAAAACTTATTTTATGATAAAAAAATAAGTAAATAAGTAAAAAAAAATGTTATAGATATGAGTGTATTAATTGTATTTTTCAATGTATACGTTTATTATAATAAACAATTACATTCCTAGAAATTATTCTCTAATGACTGCAAATTGAATTACACATTTCAACAAATGTTTAAAGCATGGACTATCTTGTATTTTATTTATTATATTATATTTATTTTATTTTATTATATTATAATGTATTATTAAAACATTTATATGAGCACAACCATTTTATTTATATTATTATTACTATTGGTGTGGCATCACTGTATGGGATAACAACATTAACCTCACTTTATAAGCAGTCGCATTAGCACCACATTATATAATAAAATATAACATATTTAATTTGTAATATGCATATAATTAAAAGAGTGTAAGTAATAAACATAATATAACGTAACATGGTGCAGTCTGTAGGATTTCAAAATTACAGTTTCCTAACATGCAATTTCTAGATTTGCAAGCACATGTTCTATATTTCAGGCACTTTTATGATACCTT